TTGGAAAGCTTCGAGTAATGAACCCTTTTTCAAAGCAAGCTTCAGTGCTTCAGAAAAGCTTCATTTGCCCATCACTAAGTTAAATGCAAAGTTAAGTAAATAAGGTAAATAAATGTAAAGTTAAATTTTAAGTTAACGGTTAAGTTAAATATATGTTAAGGCAAATAAATGTAAATACATATAAAAATAAATAGTTAAACACCAGCTCATCCTGCAGATCATTCTTTAAAAGTCCTCAAATCAACTATCTTAGTAAATATTTCTGTAGTTGATGTTTTTGTAGTTCAGCTGCGTTCATCCCTCTACATGACCTACCTGGACATGACGTCATGACGTGGATCAGGCGCCTGATTGGTGGCTGAGCTGCAGCACACCTGACGTTCATTCAGACATCAGCTGGTAAACGGTGGACACCTGATGAGACGAGCAGCTGCTTTAAAAGACAAACAGGTCTGACAGAGAGTAGCTTCCTGACCGACCCGCCATGTTCCAGGTAAGACTTCAGAGGGTCCGCAGCAGAGCTCACCTGTCAGGAAGTAATGTTTGAGTTGAAAAGGCCCAGCTTTGAGTGGTTTTCATGTTTGGTTTAAATCTACTTTCATGTTGAGTCACATCATTTCTAGAGGCTGCTGAAGAGGGTCCAGCTCAGTCCTGGTCCAGGTTCTGGAGAGCTTTGTTTGTTTTTATTGTTTCTCAGATGTCTCTCTTTCTTTCTTTTTTTAATCATAACTTATTTTATTATCTTCAAAACATAAAATGATACTTTAAATTTATAAAGTATAACTAGATTTTAATTTAACTGCCCAGAACTCCTCGTGAAGAGTTGTTTATGCACTCTAAAAAATGAAGAAGTGTTAGATTAGTTGACATGACTTGGTCAGTAAACTCAACACTTGATTTCATGAGTGTAAAGGTAATTTACCTCTGTCAGGGGCGGAGCCAGGGGGATGCCATCTGGCACATGATTGGCCACAATCAAATAATGGACAAGTGGGTGTGGCTCTTGGATTTTGTAATTTCTTTTAAGATTTTGTTGGTTGTTCTGATATGACTGGTGTGTTAGCTGAGCATGTTTAAAAATCGCTGAATTCTAGCCCTCTGTAAAAGTAGCATTAGTGATTAGCTTCATCTGGGATCATGTGATCATTCTTAGGCTGTGTCCAAAACATCAGGCCGGGTCCTCCGAAGGTCGAATTTGTCGGCCGCATAYRTCACAGCSCCGCGACGAAGGACGTCCAAAACYGAAGACTCCTCCGATGCGGCCGACAAATACGTCCTTCCTTTGGCCCGAATCGAAGGACAGGTCTGATGGATCCTTCCTGGCCCAGCATATCCCATAATGCATTGCGGCCCGACCAGAGATTTTTAAGCTATAATGGCGGATGAAGCGAGGGAAAAGAATGTTATGTTTTAAATAAAAATATGGTGATATAAAAATTTAATTTTAGTGGTTCTAATACTAATATTTGTATGGACATGTTTTTAAATATTTGTCATTTTAAAAAATGCGAAATAAACATGCGCCTTCAGAGCAGGTCAATTAGTTCTTCAAATGTTACCTTAAGTTAATTTTATTGTTTTGTTATTAATGCTAATATTTATTATTCTAATTTGGATCTATTTTTGCTTCTGTTTAGCGTCGTCATGATTGCTAGGTGACATGACGTACGCCGGGGAGGTCCCAGTCTGACCACCCTTATCGAACAAGAACCTTTGTGTAGAAC